AGCTCTTTCCAAACCAGGTTGATTGGGGAAAAAGTAAAGCAGCAAAATTCTCTTTTTGAAGAAAAACTGTAATCCCAATTTCTAAAACTGATCAAAGCAGAGGAGCTCTGTTTGAAGTAGAGTTTGCAGCCTGGAGGCCGCTCAGTCCAGGCCGCCTCACACAGTCCTTATCCCCAGGTGGCCCTGGAGGACTAAAGCCTAGGGCTCTGCCCAAATGTAATTTAAAAAACACTGTTCAAAAAAAAAAAATTGTTCCAGATGATGCTTTATGAATAGCTATTTCAGATCTCTCCTGGTTAAAAAAACATTACCACTACAAAATTAAACTAATGACGAATGGATAAAGGCATAATGTGGTTTCTTTGGTATCAGTATTGAATGTGGTAGTGAGATTAACCAGGTCAGACCTTTTAAAAAGACATTTTGGTGTGCACTCCGATCACCTAGGACCTTGATAAAATACAGTTGCTGACTCTGTAGAGCTGGGAAGGCCCCAGTTCTGCATTCCTAACAAGCAGTGTTGGTGTTCTGAATACCAGGGTTCTAAATCACAATTCATATACCAGAGTGCCCTGCAGAATGTATTATTAATGATGATTTGAGGACCCCCTTCTCAGAGTTTCTGAAGCCAGCTCTCTGTGGATCCTCTAGTCTTTTCGTCTAACTAGTTTCCCCAGGTTTTTTTGATGTTCATTACATCTGAGAACTATGCTCGGGCACATGTTTGCTGACATAGCTTATCCTGCAAGAACCCAGAATAAGAACCTGACGTTCAGTAAATGCCAGAGCCAGAGGAGGTTGGGACATCATCTAGCCCAACTTTACTCTTATCAACTAGAAAACTGAGGTCCCAGGTCCCAGAGGACAAACAACTCCACTGAGTGCCCATCATCAACTGAGCTGAAAGCAAGCAGACACCTAGAACAAAAGTATCTGACTTCTCGATCCCTAGTGTCCCTCAGAACACCAAGGGCATTCCTTCGTCAACACTTCTTTATGTGTGCTGCTTCCTGTGGCCAGAGACTTTGCGCCCAACTCTCCGTCTTCAATATTCCTAAAGCCTAGCACAGTACTTGGCACAGCAGGAGGGTGCTAAGTCACTATTACTGCTATATTCCAGGTATGCGTGTGCCTAGTCAGTTATTTTCAGGTGGTTTTTTATTTAAAGAATCTATGAAAGTTATATAAAAATGAAAATTAATATTCCAAAATAAAATACCAAAGTTTTCATAAAAGGTAGAGGAGAGAAGACATTGGGAACATGATCTATGGGAACTAGAAGAGATGGCCCAAGAGTTTAGCTTTGGCTTCAGCCTTTACTGGGTATGCACTTGTAGGACTCGTGTTTAACTATTCTGAGCCTCCATCTCCTCACATATAAACTAGACACATCAGTAGGTCTTATGTCATGGGATTTTGTGAAGGACTGGTAAATGTACAATGTGTAACACAGTACCTGATACACAGTAAGTGCTAAATCCAGCAACAGCCCTGTGGATTACAGAAGCAAGGTAGTGATTCCCTCAGTTACACCAGAAGTTACTGCATTAGGAACCCCTCTCCAGCTGCCAATTCATAAGACCTGAAGATGGGTCATCTTCAAAATGATCATGTACAGTGTGTAAAACTTGGGACTAGAGGGCACAAACCTGTGTTTGCTCAGTTTTCCAGGAGAACCTTTCTAAGGCATAGGGTGTCACCCTGGGAAGGGGGGGAGGGTCAACTGGTTACTGAGTTACTGAGGTGTCTTAACTCCCATGCGGTCAGGATGACAGCAGGGGTGTTCAGGCAGAATTATCCCCTGGGATTCTCTCTGCAGGATCCAGAAATTGAGAGTTCAGATAGGTGATGTGAGGACTACTGAGCAGTGTGTTCCAATGTTTAGCCAAAGAGTGAGGCAAGATATTTTTAGCCTAATTACAAAATCAAGGAATATGAGTTTGAAATGTGTGCCTTGAATTCACTGAGCAACAAGTCTGTGTGATCATTATTATCAGAAAGTGTATTTTCATCACATGTCCCAGGTTTGGAGAATAGTTCTTACTTTCAGACATTCTACTCTGCTATTCTATGAGTAAAACTCTTTTCAAGTAGATATCTTGATTTGGTGGTGAAGTGGTTGGGACCCTTATAAAGATCCCATTAAAGAGGGGACCAACAGTTAGCATAATGGCAATGTGGCTGGACTCCCATGTAGTCGACCAAGGTTCAAGTCTCGGACCCAGTGACTTTAACTCATGCCGGGTGCATGTGCGTGCGTGCCCAAGATCCCAAGAGGAGAATGAAGGAGAAGGGATTGCAGCATGGCCATCCCCCCCGGGCGCTGATTTCTTACTTTCTGTCTCTCTGTCTCTCTGTCTTTCTGGCAAGCGCATATGCCCTATAGCAAAAACCTCTCAAAAAAAAAAAAAAATCCCATTAAAGATATTTGATAGTTGAGGGAAAAGTACTACATATTACAATAGATATGACTACTGCTTTACCTCGATGAGTCAGGTGTTTTTTCAGTTACAAGTGACAGAAACTGAAACTACCTTAGACAAAAATGTAATTCACCAGCCATGTCACTGAGAAGTCCAAAGGATTCATGGCTGACTGGCTATGGATTCCAGTGACTGGGTTAAACTTCTCCTCATCTCCTTACTGTCTTTCTTCCTTGTTGGTTTTATCCTCAAGCACCTTTTGGGTATGCCCGGCAACTTCGGGTTCATATCCCACCAACTTAGCATCCGTATATGAAAAGAGAACAATTTCTTTAAATTATTTCAGCAAAAGCTCTGGTAATTCCCTCTGCTAGACCCAGGTAATTTCTCCCCTCCCACATCTACCAGTTAAAGGGTTGGAGTCAGCCATATGGGGCCACATGGACTAGAAGACTCCCCAGAGAACACTGATTTTGGTATTGATATCAATATCATTTGTCTACTGCAATCAAACATAGTTTAATTAACTTTCATTGAGAAACCACCAACCACTTGCTTGGATAATAGATGAAAGTATGGGTTGTGGGCAGGAAATACAGAAGTGTTCTTACATCCCTTTCTTCTGAGTTAGGATCTGCTTCCCACTATTTCTTATACCTGGTTTTCTAGGATACAGTTTCTCCATACATCACTGTCTTCTACCTACAAGAGATCTATCTCTTTCCTCAAGTGGTATCCATTTGCTACCCTGTAATATCTGCATATGACTTTCACAAAGATCTTTTTTTTAATTGTTAAATACTTTAATCATAATGACTTTGGTTTAGGAAAAACTAAATCTCTTTACAGATGACCCATGTGTCATTTAGCTGATTAAATTTAATTAACCACTTTTTTAAAAATTTATTATCATCATAATCTTGTTTATATTACATTGAGCCACATATAACTTGTACAGTGTGTTACATTTCTTTTTCCAGAAGGAATACCATGCATACCAGTCAATACAGAGACATTGAAATCCCCATTTACTCATCCAATATCTTTTCATTGTGTTTTTTCTGATCATTATTAATATTACTCCAATTATTTTTTAAACAATCACTATTTCTCATTTTGCTTGTAGAAAGACTTTACCCAACACGAAATACTTGTCAAACCAATCCAGTTTAGAATACTATACACATCATCATCAACAGGTAATAAACCATATCTGTGTCCTACTAATGTTGTGCCTCTCTCTGGGTTCTCTTACTATCTTTCTCTATACGCTTCTCTCCTCCCCTCCCCCATTCCACACTGTCTTATCCTCGTTCACTATTTTCACTGCTTTTATGTCCTTCAGTATTTCGCTCTCTACTATAGAGTGCAGATAGTCGGTATATATTAAGTGGATACATACAATATCTTTCTTTCATATCCTGACTTGCTTCACTCAGCAGTAGGTCCTCCATATCTGACCACTTTCTATCAAATGCCAGGGTCTTGTTGTTTTTTTTATGATTGAGTAGTATTCCATAGAGTATATATGCCACATTTTTTCAATCCATTCATCTGTTTGTGGACATTTAGGTTGGTTCCATATCTTGGTGATCGTGAATAATACTGCAAAAAACATTCATGTGCAAGCACTTAAACATGGATGTGCAAGCACTTTTCTGACTGAGCGTTCTCCTGTCTTTTGGGTAAATACCCAGAAGTGGGATTGCTGGATCAAATGGTAGTTCTATTTGTAGATCTTTGAGGAACCTCCATATTGTTCTCCACAGTGGTTGAACTAGTTTACATTCCCACCAACAGTGGAGGAGGGTTCCCTTTTCACCACATCCCCGCCAACACTTATCACTTTTTATATTCTTAATCTTTGCCATTCTGACAGGGGTTAGGTGGTATCTCATTGTGGTTTTTATCTGCATTTCCCTTATGATGAGGGATGTCGAGCATTTCCTCATATGCTTTTTGGCTGTTCGTATGTCTTCCTTAGAGAGACTTTTGTTCAGCTCACTTTCCCATCTTTTAATCGGGTTAATCATTTTTTTTCGCATAAGGCACTTGAGTTCCCTATGTATTCTCGTTATCAGTCCCTTGTCTGAGGCATATTTAACAAAAATATTTTCCCATTCTGAGGGTTGTCGGTTCACACTTGTTACTGTGTCCTTTGCTGTGCAGAAACTTCTTAGTCTAATATAGTCCCACTTGTCTATTTTAGGGATTATTGCCTGTGCTTTGGGAGTCTTATTTAAGAAGTCTTTGCCTACTCCAATGTCTCCCAGAGTTTCTCCAGCATTTTCCACCAGTAGTTTTATTGTTTGAGGTCTTAGATTCAGATCTTTGATCCATTTTGAGTTGATTTTTGTTAATGGTGAAAAATGGGAGTTCAGTTTCATCTTTCTGCAGGTGGATACCCAGTTTTTCCAGCACAATTTACTAAAGAGGTTTTCTTTTTCCCAATGGATTGACTAATATCCTTTGTCAAAAATCAGTTGGCTGTCAGCTTTGAGGGTTATTTCTGGGGTCTCTTTTCTATTCCATTGGTCCACATGTCTGTTTTTGTGCCAATACCATGCTGTATGATGATCACAGCTTTATAGGTATATCTTGGGATCAGGGAGTGATATGCCTCCCCCTCTCATAAAGATCTTGAAACTCTCCATGGAACTGAATATCACCTGTAGGTTTTCTGGCTATCACATTGGCTCCATTTTGCCTCCATTAATCCCCATGAAAGTTGGTCACTCAATTCCTACAGTCTTTTTAAAATCGTGGAAGGAAGGAAGATGCCTACAACTGCAGGCAGCTAGGAAGAGCTGCTTCTGGAACATCCTGGGAACCTTATAGACACAGTTTAGTCACCATATGCAACATCTCTAGCAAACTGCAGAAGAGGCCCATGGTTTATCTCAGTTCACCAAGTGCACAAGGAATGATTTTCCAGGATCCAATTTGCCCATTGCATTTAGAGAGCTAATTAGATATTAATTGACAAATGAGAACTGCTACCCATGTGGGGAGCAATTTGCTTTATTAAACAAGAAGTGATGTGATGTGTGTTCTATACGTAGGATGTTAAGCTTCATAGTAACACTGAAGAGTGCCAAGATTATCCAGTGCTTAACATACAGTTGAATGTCACAAAGTTCAAGAAGGGCCTCAGAGACAAAACAGGGACAGTTTTACATGTGTTTATTCAGCACAGTGCCTCACAATCTTCTTTAGGGCTGATTAAGAGGAGCTAACTTTTATGATTGCTTACTAAGTGTCGGGCACCAGAGAGAAAGCATTCACTCCATCAGACACTCTGTGGGAAAAGTACTATTATTTATTCCCATCTTACAGTTAAGGAAACTCAGGCACTGTGAAGTTGAGTGAGAAAGCTGGACTGTGAGGGAGCTTCGGGCCATTAGGCTACAGAACTAAGCTTTCACATATTATGTAGGTCTGACATGATGATCAGTTTGACTATTCAGAGATTATATGCAGTTGCTTAGTATTTTTAACATATGTTAAGTGTTGAATACCTTCTTAGTTCTAGATATACAATGTGTATAATTTTCTTTCTTTTGTGGGAAAGAGCAAGAGATTGAGAGAAAAAGGTACCCTGTATAGGATTTCTTCATGCGGCATCCCCTGCCCAAAGCCCTCCTCCTTAGTCAAGATCTTGAGCATATGCATGCACAGCGTGTTCCAGGTTGTCTTGAGGTTCACTCTCAGTTGGTCATGTGGCTTCTAGCAGTGCAGAGCTGTGGGCTCCCACCTGCTCTCCTGAGGCTGGGCTGCTCCAAAAATTTTTGAGACACAGCTCCCAGATATCACCTGAGATGAAAAGCAATAAGAACTAAAACCTATGGAGTACTTCTTAAGTGTCACATCTTGTGTTAAGCACTTGACAGTTTTTCATTCTTTTATGTATTTTATTCTCATGTGACCTTCCTGAGTTCCCATTTTAGATAAGGAAAACAAGATTCACAGAGGAGAAATTTCCCAAAGGGCATCCTGCCTGTAAGTTAGATCCAGGTATTTTAGCTCCCCTAGACATTGCTTTTGACCTCTGCATCAAGCCACACCAACCAGTGTGACTGGCAACAGTGATGTCCTAGAACCCACATAGTTTTCTTAGTGTTCCTCAGTCCTCGCACAATTGTGTTCTTCCTTTTTGAAAGTTGGCCACCTATCAAACTTTCAATTATAGCTTTTTTTAAAAAAAGTTTTACTATAGAGCATTTGTGCTCACCAGAGAGAGACCAACAAAAAGAGAGAAAGTAAGAAATCTCTCTCTCTCTCTCTCTCACACACACACACACACACACACACACACACACACATACACACACGGAGCATGGATGCACCACAATCCTCTCTCTTCCTTTCCTCTTTCAGGATTTTGGACATGCATGTACATTCACCTGATATAATTCTCAAGCCTCCAGGTCCATGACTTGAACTGTGAAGTTGGCCATGTGGGATCCAGTACCTTAACCTCCATGCCACCTGCTGGCCCTAGCTATTTCATTTTTAAGTTCAGTTGCAAAAGGAAAACATTTTGAGAACTGAAGTTTTTGTTTGTTTGTTTGTTTGTTCATCTATTTGTTTTTAAGTTTTTGCCATAGGGTGTGTACAGTTGCCAGAGAGAGAGAGAGAGAGAGAGAAACGGAAAGGAAAAGTGAGAAAACATACCCCCAGAGGGATGGCCACACCACAGTCATTTCTCCTCCATTCTCCACTTGGGAATTTGGGTGCGCATGCACACATGCCAGCATGATTTTCAAGCTGCTGGTTCTGGGATTCAGACTGCAATTGGCCATGTAAGAGTCTATCACCTTCACCACTATGCCACCTGCTGGCCTCAGGAGTAACATTTTTGTCACTGAGGTAAGTGGTGGAATGCTGGACCATTAGATCCTTCAACAAATTCCCCAAAAGGCTATTGGTGCCAGGCTCTGTGCCAGGCATGGGATGGGTGATCACACACAAGTACTGCTACATGGATGCATGTTGTTTGACAAAAGATATATAACTACGTGCAGGGTGACATGTTGTTTTTGTTTGTTTTGTTTTTGTACTCACCAAAGATAGAAAGGGAGAAAATATTTCCCCTAGTGGAGCATGGTGACACCACAATCCCTTCTCCATTTCTCCATCCTGTCAGGATCTTGGACACACATGCATACACACCAGACATGCTTTTCAAGCCTCTGAGACTGGGATTCTAACCACCATCAGCCATGTGGGATTTGACTCCCTTAACCACCTGGCAATGAGAGCAGCCCCTGTTGAGTTTTAAAGTAAAAGAAAGGCTAAGGTGCTTTAGAGCTTTTTCTGGACTACTCATGACAGCCAATGAACTGGGTCTTCCAGAGCATGTAATGGGAAGCCATGTTTTCTAGTTAAAGTAATCTGATTTTATAAAATTATATGCATAATTAAGAGTAACTTTGGTTTCAAATTTTAGAAAATGTAGCCCAAAGGAGATTTAGACAAATAATAAGTTAACTAGGGGGTTGACAGCAGTGGTTCACTTGCTGCAATATGACACCAACCCTTTCAGTCTGTCATTTAGCTATTGGCATTTTCTTTCAAGGGTTTTTACCTCATTATTACAAAATGGCTACTGTTGCTCCAAACAACATCAAGGTAGAAAGTGAGCCAGTGAGCTGGTTTTGAAAAATATTTTCTATTAGTAACAAAGGGAAATATTTTTTGCAGAAGTCTCCCAGAAGGTGGGACCAGCAGTTGGTGTAATGGCTATGTCACTGAACTCCCTTGTAGCTGACCATGGTTCAAATCCTGGACCTGATGGCTTGAACTCACACCAGAAATCTCCCAGAAGGCTTCCATTTCTATTTTATTGGCCAGAGTTAAATAACATCATTAACACCTATAAAGAAAGATGGGAAAGAAGCAAGGGTCCAGCTCTTTTCTAGCCTCTTTTGGGCAAGGTGGATAAGAGAAATATGACTCTATTATCTAACCAATAGTTTTTGTCACAGCATGAGAGTGTGACATATTGGGAGCATCCTTAACTATATAAGAGTATGGTAGCCCCTCCTTATCAGTGGAGATACATCCCAGGACTCTTAGTGAATGCTGAAACTGTGGCTAGTACAAGACCCTATGTATTCATATATGCTATGTTTCTGTTAAAAATAGACACAGAAAAAGATAAACAACAATCAATAATAAAACAGTAATTATAGCAATATATGATAATAAGAGTTATGAGCATGCTCTCTTTTCCTCCTCTCAAAATAGCTTCTTCCCCTTTTTTTTAATTGCCAGAGGGTACAGATGCTTATGAGAGAGAGAGTGAGAGTGACAGTGAGAGAGAGAGAGAGAGAGAGAGAGAAACCAATCCCTCTCCCCCAATGGAGAGTAGTCACACCTCAATCCCTTCTCTTGCATTTATCCTTCCTGTTAGGATTTGATATGCACACGCGCACTAGTACGTTTTGCAAGCTCTCAGGGCCTGTGGGTTCTGTCTCCCAACACTCAGAACCTACTGCTGTGCTACAGAGTTGGCCCTCAAATATCTTACTGCACCTTACCTATTTAATGCAGGAACCTAAAACCAAGGAACACGAAACTGTGACTAACAGGGGACTCCTCAACTGTGTCCAACTATTTGTGACCATATAACATCATCGTTAATGTTGGAGTTAATTGGGTCGATTTGGGTCACATGTTAGAAGCGGGAAAGTTCCTTCCCTTTTAAGAGCTCATCCTGGAAAAAAAAGTAGACCAAAACGTGGGGGCTGATCTATGCCTACCAGGGTTGTTGTAAGGCAGAAATTTTTTCTTAAACTAGGACTAGACACCAGGTTCCAAAGTTAGCTCCCAGGACTTTCCTTTAGGCTAAATACTGTGCAGTTGTAAAAGCTTTCTGTTGATCATAGTGTACGTGCCATGGACAGCACTGGCTGTATGATTAGTGGTCAGTCCAAAATAAAAATGTAGGATTCCTTGTTTAAAAATTATTAAGAATTTCAAAACAACAGAAACACAATACTAAGCCAGGCACGGGGGATCTCGTGCTGTTGCACAACTCCTCGTTTGCAAAGGTGACCTTGGCAGAGGGCAGCTGGTACATTGCCAAAGCGTAGAGTTGGAGGAGTGATGAGCTCAAGAGCGTGGTTACAGATGTGGGGTCAGTTCCTCTGAAGTACGATACAGTGGTTAAGGCTCATGCTTTCAAATAGTCTCTCTCTGTATTCCAATTCCATCTCTGTTATTTAAATGTTCAGTGATTTTAGAAACTTGTTTAGCCTTTCAAAGATTCCATTTCTTTTCCCTTAGAGGAGTGGTAGTAATATCTCTGCCATTTATTGAGAAGAGTAAATTAAATGGCAGAGCCAATTTCCTTACAATGGCTCACTCCTTATAGGTGCTATGCTATGTCCTCAGTGAAGGGTTGCTATGACCTGTGAATTTTGCTGATCCCTAAATGCAGTTCTACTATGTTAGAGGATGTTCTAGTTTACACAGTAAACTCAGAAAGATTTATGAATTAGAATGTCCATTTATTCATGTGTAAAGAACTGGCTGGACTTGGCATGGCATCTAACATCAGTTCTTAATCAGAACCTACTTTCCAAACATTAGGTTGTCAGTCAAGTTGTCATGATGCGTTTCCCTACGCAAAATGCATCACGACTGTCCAGACAACCCAATCATTTGGTAGGTTACCTTCTGAAAGCACAGTCATTACTTTCCTCAGATGCGTGTGTTATGAGATTTCCAAGGCCAAATAAGTGGAAATCCTTCGGATTTAGCTAAGGTTTCCTTTTTGTGGAACTTGTCAGAGACTTTAGAATGTTTATGAGTTCTCTGAATTCCCAGGAGGATTTCCAAATTTATCTGGGCCTGTGTTACAGGATCACAGTGGTGATTCACTTTAGTTAGCCTTTAACATAAACAGGGGAGTGTTTTGTATATGGGTACAGGGATGTGTAAACTACTGTTAGCCTACCCCACAGATAAATTTAGATACCATTGATAGCACCCTTAGCAAGATTCTAGCTGCAGAGATAGTTATTCAGACATTTGAATGTCACTTTTATAATCTGTAACCATAGGTTTTGTTCATTTGCAAAAGAGAAATTAGAAACTCTCGTATTATTAAAATGAGTGGTGTTTAAATATATCATGGACCATAACTGCTGTGTCCCCAACCCTCTTCCAGTGTGAACTGGAAGAGGCAATCGCTCAATCTGTTTACTCAAGGTCTTGCAACCCCAGTTCCTAGAGGGCTCTGTTACTTGACACACTCCTACAGCTAGCTGATCCAGCCTGCCATAGGCAGAGGGAACATGGTACACTAGAGTTTTATGTAAAAACTGAAATAATTGTAGGACTTCCCTGAGCTTACAAAAACAATATGCAGTACTGTTTTTGTGCTATTAAATATGTGTGTATGTAATAGAATTTTGGTGTAAGACTTACATTGATTTTTTTTTTTTTAATCTGGCAGTAGGCTTGAGAGGGTACATCCAAAAGCTGAAAACACAAAAATAACCCAAACATTTTCTACAGCTCAATGTGCATTCCATAGCCTGTGGAATGCTGTCTTTGTGCTACAGTCCATGGAAGCGGTATTCTCAGTAACAGTTTTGGGGCAAGTGTGGAGTTAACTCATGAACAGGGAATTACTTACTTTTTTTCAAAGAATTATTTATTTTATTTATCATTGTTCTTTTAACTTGCTATAGGGCATGTGTGGTCACCAGAGAGAGACAGAGAGAGAATGTGAGGGAAAGTAAGAAAGCAGGCTGCCAGGTCCGGGACTCAACCGCAGTTGGCCATGTGGAAGTCCAGTACCT